ATAAACGGAGGAAGTCATTCAAATTCACCTATATCGATATTACACCGACATTCATCCATCTTCTTCTCATCATCACAGAGGGATAATCCACACTCATAGCAAAAATCGTGACCGCACCTACTGAATGTTAATGATAGATATGAACCCAACTCGAACAAATATGAAATTAAATTTTGTTGGGTGTGGCTCAAATTTTCTAGGCCCATTATTTTGATAGAGTATAATGCATATTCTAGAAGCTTTGAATGATCAACCAAGGTCATTACTTGCTCATGATTTCTCTAGAATAATAGCATATTTGAATGTCCTAGAGCATTATACATTGGAAGCAATTAGAATATAATACATGATTCGTGAATTTTCTAGAACATCATGGATACAAGAATGATGAAGGAATTTCTGGAATATTCCAACCATTTCTTCCAAGCTCCATCTACAACTATAAATATGAGTCATGGGCATTCAACACACACATAAGAAGGCATACCATACACACTAGCCTTCCTACATACTACACCTCCACTATTGCTTATTTTGTATTACTCTTTTGAAGTTCCTATATTGGATTAGTTTTCATATATATATATATTTGTCAACATTTTTTTGTATTAAAAAGTCATCCCTTTAAATGGATGCATGAGATTAGTCATATTTAAGCAAACATAGTATTTTAATGATAAAACAATTTGATCGGTTTATTATTTCACATTATAATATAGACACAATTAATCATTTAATATCTACAATGAAAATATATTTTTTGAAAATTTTAATCCAACATAAAAAATTAAATAAATAAATAAAAATTTGAGAGGTAATTGAAATTAAAATTAAACTAAAAATTCGATAAATAAGAAAAAGTTGATGATCTTATTTTTATATAAAAAAATAAGAATATACTTTATTACTTGAAGAAAAATAAGTCTAATCTGCATTAAAATATTATGATAGTCATATTTCAATCAACCATTATAATGTTAAAAAGAACGAGTTACTAAGCTATGTTGCCCTTATTAAGGGAGAGGACCTTCCACCGGGGTCATTAAGGGTCCGGCCCCCGATATATTATTGTAACTAATTAGTTAATGAACTTTTTTTTGAAGGGTAGTTAATGAACTTAAATAACCTTATTTCACTTGTAAAATATTGAGATTCAAATCATGGCCATTGTGTTGGTATTGTATATAATGATTCTTGATCTTTGATGCAGTATATTATGAACCCGAAAGTGAGAACACATGGTATTTTTTCACAAGATTAGAAAAATTATACGAAAACGGAAGCCGACCTAGAAGATCCGCTTGCAATGGTTATTGGAAGGCTACCGGGGTGGATGCAACAATAAGGAACAAACAAGGAATAACTATTGGTTATAGGAAGGCTTTAGCATTCTTTATTAAAATCGAACCCGCTCCAAAAAAATAAAAACAAACCAGGGAATTAAAACACCATGGCTTATGCGGGTCCAAGCCAAAAAATATGGTAAGCAATCACACTATACATTTGAAACAATTCCTAAATTTAGATATTTAGGTTATATGATATATTTGTGTTGTTTTACGTATATACGTTTCTGTTTTAGATGGATTTTATTCAAGTTTTTTGTTTTTTGTTTGCAATTGAATGGCTGGGTGCTATGCAAAGTTTATAAACTTGGAAGAGATGTCCCCGTTGAAGCTCCAATCCCGGTTGCTCAAGAGGAGCACAATCAAGTGGTACAATCTCAAGAGGAACATAATCAAGTTGTACATGCAAGAGGAGCATAATCATCAAGTGGTACATGCTCAAGAGGAGAACAATCAAGTCGTACCTGCTGTTGCTGCCCTAAACAAACCTAGTTATACAATAGAGGATATTCTTCGACATCTAGAACTCGATGAAGATGTCTTACATCACCCTCAGCCTACTGATGATCCGTTAAATAGATAATTAAAAGTCTGTAGGTACATCAGTATGAAGTATACGATATTCTTAACATAAACGAAGTAACGAGTATATTATAATATATCTTAACAAATGTTTTAGATGAAAAGATGATCAATTAAGTATCAATAAATTATAACATTTCTCCCATATTTAGAAGTCACTCAAATGACACCGGCATTCATCCATCTTCTTCTCATCATTAGAGGGATAATCCACACTCATAGCAAAATTCGTGACCGCACCTGCAGTAGTTTTCCATGAACACTGAATGTTAATGATAGATATGAACCCAACTCGAACAAATATAAATTAAATCGATTGAGGAATATATACATTTGCTCGAATAATGAAACATAGTATGAAGACCATCCAACTATTACTTCTTATAATCTTTTTTCTTTTGTAAGTTTCTATGATCTTAGGATGACTTTTGAGTAGCTATATTATTATATTATTAAATCTTAATCGATTATTAAATTTGACCAATTTTAGCCGTTGAAATTTGATTTTATTGTAATAAGAAATACATTGCTATCTCTATAGTTGCCTTCTATCTCATTTCTTGTGACTAATCATTTTCTTTTGTTGTAAAAGTTTCTTCTTCGATGACATTTTCCTATGCATAAATTTTCCACCTTTTATAGATACAGTCAGTTGGTATTTAGAGCATCTCCAATGGTAAGCTAATTGTTAAATTAGCTTTACTTGTCAAATATGATTTCAAGAAAAACCACTTTGTAGCTATTTTATGCCCCAATGGTTAGCTACTAGCTTGCTATTTAAATAAGCTTGACTTTCTCAATTAGCTTTATTAATTTAATAATTTTAATATATTAATCTCCAAAAATTTTGGTAACTTTTTTCTCAAGCAAATTAGCTTGTTGGTCAAGCTAATTGTATTTTTTAACTCCAATAGTCAAACTAGTAGTTAGAGATTTTTGAAAATTACAAGCAAGTCCCCAACTACAACCATTGGAGTTGCTCTTAAAAAGTGGACAATTCATGCATAGGAAAATACCATTTAAGGAAGAACAAAAAAAAAAATAACGAGTCACAAGAAATCAAATTGGATTGCAAGGAAGAAGGCAACTATAGAGAAAGCAAAATATCAACATTTATATATATATATATATATATATATATATATATATATATATATATATATATATATATATATATCAACATTTTTTTGTATTATAAAGTCATCCCTTTAAATGGATGCATATATTTTTAATGATAAAACAATTTAATCGGTTTATTATTTCACATTATAATATAGATACAATTAATCATTTAATATCTACAATGAAAATATATTTTTTTGAAAATTTTAATCAACATAAAAAATTAAAAAAAAATAAAATAAAATTTGAGAGGTAATTGAAATTAAAATTACATAAATGAAACTAAAAATTCGATAAATAAGAAAAAGTTGATATTATTTTTATACCAAAAATAAAGAATATACTTTATTACTTCAATCGACCGATTATATGATAAAAAGAACGAGTTACCGTTACCTTCCACTGGGGTCATTAAGGGTCCGGCCCCGAAGTAACCTTATTTCACTTATAAAATATTGAGACATAGTTATTTGTTTTGAACGAGGGGGTAAAAGAGTTAAATCACGGCCTCTTTAATATTTTCGGTCAAGATCCGCCACTGCTTATTAAAGCTTAGAAGTCACTTGTCAATTGGTAATGCTAACGAATATTGAACATAAATAACATACCTGCATATCAATTCTGAACACCCATCAATTCTTTCAACGTAGAACTTACATCTAGGGCACCTCACCCAACGTTTTTCCTTGGCAAGGTTCCTAAGCAAAACATCCTCATTAGCCTTCTCATATCCTCTAATTTCTCAAATGCCTCACAATCCATTCCATCATGCCATGCAACCATGCATTTGGTGCAAAACTTTCTCTGGCAATGTGGGCACTCCGCCTTCACCTTTGTCGATTTTTCGACCCCAGCCTCCTCCCCACACGAGCCCTCCTCTGCCTCCAGGAGGGCTGCCGAGCAATCCTTGAATGGGCAATATAAACTCGTAGATGATAAAATCATCGATTTCGACAAACTCTCCTCCCACCTACACACCATTTGAGACTTTTATAAATGTATCAACATGTAAAACTTAATATTTTCACTAGTCATGTTTTCAAATTTACGTAAAACACATAAACAATTAAACATACACAATCAAATACCAACCTATCCAGAACAAGTTTGGGGATGATGTTGATGCAACAATCGAACTCGATTTCCATCTTACAACCGACATCAGGGCACTTGATAGAAGTGATGTTTTCTAGAACCTTAGCATCAATGTGCTTAGAAATGCAATCTATACAAAAAGGGTGGGAGCAAGTAGTAGTAGTAATAGTAGGATTATTTGTGAATTTGTAGGGTTGGAAGATGTTATTTATTGGCCTAATATCCATGCATATGAGGCAATCAAAAGTTTTGGTATTTGAAGAAAGTAAATCTTCATTGTTTTGAATGTTTATAGCCTCAATCTCCTTCTTCGTTTCGAAACATCCTACACTTCCTCCTCTGTTCTTCCTCTTAGGCGTTCTTCCTCTTAGGCATGCCTCAGATTAAAGTTTGCCGTCCCTTCAAAGGGTTTTTCAGAGGTTTTTAAGAAGCTAATACTTTAATTCTCGTATTGTATGGATCAAATATATATATATATATATATATATATAATAAAATAATAAATAAATAAATAAATAAAAAGATGAATTTTGAACATTAATTTTAGTGAATTTATATATTTTCTGTTGCAGTAGATGCTTATACGAAGTATACCATTGAATAAAGATAAAAGTTTTTGACTCAATCCCATTACTCTATATTTATCTTTGGAAAAAAAAAAAATAAATAACCACGTCGAACTCGGGATTGATCATCAAATAGGACAGATTTGGTACCTTGAAACAACTGATAAAGACAGCTCCTCATTTGAACAAGTAACATTTAAAGGAGGGGTGATGTTCTCAAAACACGATTATAAGTTCGCACATCATCTAACTACAACTAGTTTCACGATTACGCAGGGAAGAAGAAAAAGGAAGCAAGGCAGAGACAAAAATGGTAAAAATAACAATAAGGCACTTTACACTGTTGTTAGACAGAGGAACAACAATGTCAACTCCTATTAAGAATTGAATGATCCATCGCTTTGATATTGATAATGCTACATCTACCTAAATACAAATCATATGCTCTAATTATTTTACACTAGACCTTTTTTCCTGGGATCTATTTCCTATTCCTGTAGATAAACTCTGCCATCATTCACGGCGCCTCCCTTGATAAGGAAAAAAAGGACTGCTAAAAAACGAAACAAAAGTTATATTAAGATTAAAGCTTTCGTGTTTCACCTCCTCCTTGCCTCACTGTTTCTCCATCCGCTTTCTGTGTATTGCCTGCCTCCTCTGGTGTATCGTCCATTTTCAAATATCACCAGAAATCCCTCAATTGATAACCCTTCCCCAGGAATATCGAAATAATTTTTCAACCATGGGAGCAAAAGTACTACCCTAGGTGAAAGGATGAAAAGAAATTCGAAAATATGAGTATCACACGTGTCTTGAATACGCAAGACTTTCTGAAAACCCGTTCGAGGGCTTGTGCAACTTCTTCCTGAAATTTGTGACGCTGCAATGTGGACATATGTACTCTAATCCATCTGTTTTTGCATAATCCTGCAAAACCGAAGATGACACATTGTTGTGAGCCCAAGTAAAAATCCAAGTACATTCTCCGCTATTAAAAGATTGTAAAAACATAGTACTCCGTACTATATTGGACAATTTCACTTTACCTTAAAAGCGCCAAGACCTTGCCGTCTATCACAACCAAAGTGAGCCCACTCCCCACATATACCACAATTGACCCAATCACCAGCTGCGCTACTGTTAATAGGTGGCAGAGAATGAGTGAAAAAATGTTCAAATGGGAAAGCAAAAAAACACAAGAACGTAACGATTAATGAAACTGATGGGACAATACTAAAATTTAAGCACATACCTATGGCATAGCAAGCAGCATTCTCCATCTACATCATCGTGAGCCAATTCGTACTCTAGTAAGTATGTTTCATAATGTCGCTTAAGAGTGTTTCCAACACCCTGCCAAAATCACAAGCAAACATCAATATCTCATCTTACAATTTCAAGTCTCTAGTGGATATTTACCCAAAAGAAGTCACAGCAATTGCCTAGAAGCTAATAAGCTCAACTATGGAATTAAGGAAAAAAATCGAAATTGAAAGAATGTAGGATAAGAAGTGTATTATACAAAAGACCACAAACAGCAACATTTCAACAAAAAAACACCCACAAGTCCACCTCCCATATAGTCCACAATATGACACAGGGACCAGAATCAAGGGAGACGAGTGCCCTCAACTATAACATGCGCTATTGTGAGGAATATGCCAATGAGACATTGAGGATAGATGTGAAAACTCAGATAACAAAGAAAAACAAGGATAAGGTGCACAGAGAGAGTGAGTTGCTACATGACAAGACAGACTTCACAGGATTGGTAATAAGTACACACATGCAAACAATATGACCATAGATAAATCTATACACAAGTATATTCACAAATGTTATTATGTAATATAATTATTGGATTTGTCTCCCTGTCTAGTTTTAAAATATCAAATTTTTATAAATTTTATCAATCCATAATAGATAATAAATATATATACCTCAAGTGAAAAAGCATTTAAACTTTATGTTCAAATGATAAAATTCTAAAATCAAAGCCCCAGTAATATGGTAGTTGGTAAAGAAAAAAATCAGAGGATAGTGGCAATCCAACTAAACTAACTCGCAATAAGAAAAAGAGAAAAATTTAGCTAAAGATGGCAATGGGCTTTGAGCTAAGAGCTGCAGATAGAAGAGGAGGAATGCAGGTAAGGAAAATATTAAAATGGAAGACAAAAAGACATAACGAAGAGAGAAATAGAGGTAACTTAGACCCAATTTTTGCTGGACAAGGGTCGTCAGCGATAGCTGTTTAATTTAACATCTCTAAAAAATTCAGAAATTAAGATTTTGATATTAGGAATTTGATTAGAAATTAAGATTTTGTGATTAGCTGCAAATCAGGCCTTTTCTGGATTTCAATCAAAATCTTCTCTCTTGCAAACCCTAAAGGCTACCAGTCCTCTCCGGAGTAGCTCAACAAATGTTGAAGACGAAGCATACCTTAACATCACAATCAGGTGGAAAAGTTTTGCATTTTCGAAATCAAAAGATTCAGAACTTTGCAAAGTCAGAATGTCCAACAGGGCTTCAGAGCTGACATGGGATTGAACAGGGTTATCATGTCACCAAAGAGGGAAGAGGGGTAAAGTATTTGACATTCCCAACTACAAGCAGGGGAAGTAGGGAGAAACCAGTATGAAAACCCCTCCCCCTCAAAATGAGGTACACCCCCAACAAAAGGGGATAAAAAGCATAACAAAAGGGTGAGAGGCGGGAAAAAAAAATAGACAAAATGTAGCATACCTTGCCCTAAGATATACCTGTATTATAACATTGCACCCTAGGAGTGGAGGAAGATAATTTACATACTACAAAAAAAGCAAGACAGGTGTAATAAGAGAACATACGGTCATTTTATTGGTTGCAGTGTAGTTTCGCATCTTCGAAAAAACTTGCCCTTTCCAGTTGATTCCATTGCCAACATGAAAACCTCCTCTTGAAACAACCTGAAAGCGAAAAAAATTCAGCTTGTTTTCCAGAAACAAACATAGTACATTAAAGAAAGATGACCCCTCTCCGTAGATTTTTATCCACATCACTACATCAGCATACTGCATTAATAGCATCAGTTTACACATTACAACATCAGAAGAAACCACATAATACCTCTCGATACAGGTTGTATAGATCCAGACGTTTAGAGTTGAGAATGGCATCAGGGAACTCTGCTAGCCCACCTTGAGGGATAAGCCGACTGTGTCCACGATGCATAAGAAATTGCATTACATCTTTCAAGAACTCGTCCTGAAAATGGAAAGTAATTAGTCTAGGATGACCCAAGATTCAGATAAAACAATAAGGATTACTTTAATCAGAACAAGCGATTTGATATTGCAGAAATATAATCAACCCTGGACAAAATTTGCAAAAATCTTGAACTGTCCAATATCGTAAATCATCAAATATCCGAGTGGATTACTTTATACTTCCAAAAGACAAAGCTAGTGAGCTTCCAGTGAAGCACAGCTATGAAAAAGTCAGACAATGCTCATGGTAATGCGTAGGGCAGGGAGTATTGCATCTTCTAATTTTAAGATTTTACAGCTAATAGATGCAATACAGACCTGATGGATAGCATCATATACAGTAACAAGGAATAAATAATTTGTGCCAGACATTACAGAGTGTAAAGACTGTAAACTAAGCCAAGTGATAGTGTTATGATTTCAAAAGTGGGATCCTTACCTCTGAGCATAACTGGATAGGTGGTCTGCCGCAACCATGTTTCTTCAAAGGTATTGGATTTAAGGATATGATCTGCTTGGCCTGAAAAGCATTTGTTGCCCTTCTATTTGGTGCAGGATTTGATGTCAAGACACTATGTTTTGTAGGTGGAAGCGCTGGCAAACTAAGCTTCACTTGGCCAGTATCATAATTATCTGCCTGCACTATACCCGTAAAAGGCATCATTTTCCGAATATTAGATTGAGGAATGGGCCTCATAGCTGCTACTTTTATCTTCTGCCGGATGGGAAAAGCTGGATTATAAGTCCCATTATAAAATCTAGTTTCTTTATCGTCTTGCTCAGCTTTTGTTGTAGCAGCTTGATTTTCAGACAGATAACAATCGTGTGAACAAGGACTTGATCCTTGACCAGTTCCAGAAATCTTTCTGCTTGGAGGAGGTGGTCTAAGCCAACTAGGTGGAGCAGTGAGATCATCATTATGCGGGCGCCTATCTTTCTCCTGATTTGCGCAGAAAAAAAGAAGACGTTCAGCGTCATCTTTCTGAAACGAAGCAACAGCCAGTCCTTGAATGCTTGCAATTCCAAGGGCTACCAGGCTATGGTAAGATGTCTCCGGCGCCAGCTGCCGCAATACCTAAAACATCAATCTTTATTAGAATATAATACTTATTAAAAAAAATAATAAATAAATAAAAAAACTGAGACAACCAAGATACGGTAAGATCTTTGCACAAAAATACAACATTGACCTTTAGAGGCATTAAGAAAGCGCACTTCAATGAAGAAAAGTTCAATGCTACACTCCAGGAAACCAATTATTACTACATTGCTATCCACATCAAGTTGTCAGCCAAGCCAAAAGGCAATCTATAATCTATAGCAGACAGAAGCATGTCACTTAAAAACCTTTATAAGACATCACCATCAGAAAGACAAACTCCTGTATCTATAGGCAAACTTTTTTAAAACAAACTTTCCCAAATTGAAAGCAGGACCCGTGATATACTGTTGCAAATCAAGCACAAGAGCAATAAAAATTTGGGATCAGAAGCCAAAAAGTTAAAAAAAAAATAAAAAGCTTATCTCACAAATAAACAAAGACTGGTTGCTTCCGCCTCCACTCAATAATAGAATGAAATGAAAAAATAAAATGGAAAAAGAAAAGTAGGCAATCATATCCGAGCAAAGTTCATCGCCCAAAAAGATGCTTATTCTCCGTATTACCGGATCTGCTTAATAAACTCCACTAATATCATTTTCCAACAGAAAATATATGTGAACAAGGGTCTGAATCAAGAACCTGCAAAGCCCATGATGGTGCTTTCAAGCAGACTTCAAAAACTGTTGCCCCACAAGCAATTGAGTCAGATGTCCGAGGCTCAGATGAAGGCAGTTTAATTTCTTCTGAAGAAGGCACTGCCTGTATGAGCTGACTTCTTTCAATTGCCTCCTTCTTTATATGATTTTCCAATTGCTGAGCATTCATTAAAACAAAGTATAAATACATTGTCCAACTCAAGAACTATCAAGAACCAAAAATGAGCCAAGAAAATAATTCACCTGATCATCAAAGCACGTTTGTGCACTACCAGACACCAGGACAGATATATGGGCAGCACTACAGGTAGATATATCACATTTCATCGTCACAACACCACGTGAAAATGTACCTGCCTGCAATGGTGGTGGTGGGGCACTGCAACACATTGAAATGGCAAAATTCATTGATCCATAAATGGTTCAAATTAATGGAATTCTATCAGCCTTACCCCCCCCCCCACCTCTCTCTCTCTCTCTCTCTCTCTCTCTCTCTCTCTATTTTATTATCACCCTTCAACATTGGAAAAATAAGCAGCAACATCACCAAGCATACATTCATACAATACCTGAAGCGGTTCTGAAGCTTGCTCCCACGCATCTAAAAAATTAAAAACATATTAGACAGTAGAAAAAATATATATATAAAAAAATAAAAAAAATAAAAAAAAAAAAGAAGAAGAAGAAAAGAACAGAAAAGGAAAAATAGACAAGCCCTTCTAATTTTCCCAGCCACATTCATGGCCAGGAATTGCCATAAAATTGCATTCAGCACCATTCATGACATTCAGTGCATTGGAACAGACATGATAGACGTTAAAGAGGCATGATATGGAGAAAACCAGCAAAAAACTTATTGCTCAACCAAGTGTCCATATGCAAAAATACAAAATAATCTGTACAGAAGATGAGCTCCATGCTTATACATGGAGGGGAAAAAAAAAACATGGCAACAAAAAAAAACAGATAAATCGAGTTTATAAAGAGGGGAAAAAGAGAGAGGGGGGGGGGGGTGCTGAACAGGTGAACTTACCTCTATGCCCAAAAGTGCATTCAGTCCATCCTCCAAACATCCCAACAAATATGCATCCTACAAAAGAGATGTGTATATCAGCAAATGTCCTTTTCATAGCCATGAAACAAGCAGGCTTCATAATTCAGTGACTCACCAATGAGCATGCCACCCCACAGATCAAAAATCTCACACTCACTTCATCGTCATGGATTTTAACAGCAGAAAGATTACTCCCAGAGCCATCTTCTTCATCACCATCATCAGCCTCAGGCAAAGCAACTTCAACAATGGGAGCCTCCCCAAGAAGAGATGGCCCCCCCAGATTACAACCAGCCATTTGGCTGTTCCGGGGAACCACTGCATTGTTCCGAATGCAATAAAGACTAAATGATGCATGAGCCAGTTGGAAAGCATCCCAGGTATGGCAGGGCGTACTGCATGGAAAAAGAGTTAGATTATAGTTCCTAAACATATCAACATGCATAAGCAATAAACACCACACAATCAGGTTTTTCTCCATGCAGTTGATCAGTAACACAGGCCATATACTGATATTAACTGATCCCAAATTGAGGTACTCTAAAGCTTATTCACCTCCAGCCTTAAATAAAAAGCTCTCCCTGAAGCTCCTTGGGAAATTAGGAGTTCTCTAAGTTTAACTGATGGTTAAATTTAAAAAAAAAAATAATTAAAAAAAAAAAAAAATCTTTTATTTGAATATTCTCCCACATCAAAGACAAAACATACTGTCATCAATGAAACCTCTTATTGTCTTCAAATTAGCTCTTTTATCATGCAAATTTTGGCCACAATAAGCTTGAGACAGAATTTAGTATTAAAGACAACCTAACTACTTTAACGCATTTTTATCATGCCAAAAGTTTTTTGAGAGTTGCAAGAAACTTCAAGCAATGTCATATTCAAACTACCAACCATGTCAAATTCAAACTACCAACTAAGCATGCCAAATTCTAAACTCATGGCAGATTCACAGGATCCTATTCACTTGATCTGAAAATTATAAGGTGCCTTTTGCCAACACTGCAATATCTGAGGAACTAATATGTTTGTATGAAGATTGAATAACAAGATTAAAATCAAAGGACAATCTAACAACAGATAAAGATCATTTATTGGCGCCCTAAAAGGAAAGTAAACCTAAGGGATAAGATTTCAAAAATGGACAAGTAATCAAAAGTCCAATAACAAAAAAAAAAAATGGAAAGTAATGGCCCTAAACAAGTTCCCTTGTCTCACAATACAATTATTCTACATAGAATACTTCCTCTGTTTCACAAATATTGCAACAAGGATGAAATTACGCATCCCAAAGCACATTTTATATGCTAAATATCTATAATTATATAAGAGTAAAAATTATAAAAAGTTGATATTATGAAAGTATTTTACGAGACGAATCTAACAAGATCCCACAGGACTATATTTTACTTTACGCATAAATCATAATATGTGGTCAAACAAGCGTGATGAATAGTGTAAAAGTCCAGTTGTTGCAATATTACTAGAACGGAGGAAGTATATGGTTATGTAACAAGAAAAACATTGTTTTAAGTGAAACCGATACCTCTGTACAACTGAAAAGAATGCATGCCGAAAGTGAGCAGCAGCATAACAAGAAAATGCATTCCGCCAAAATATGACGTAAGGGACCCCCTGCCAAAAGGAGGGATAACAAGTCTTAGTCGATATACTACCTGATAAATCAAATTTTAAGCAGCAAATGATATGGGTAGCCACTTTCAACACACAACAATAATGAAATGACAAATTTAGGCTTTTACTCACCTTAGAATGAATAGCATCTGCGAATTTTTCACCATTAGGAATCTCCAAATAAACCTACAAAATTACAATACTCAATATCAAATTCTCTCCAGTGATATACTTCCTTGTTTTACAAACCCTGGTACATTTTTAGATATAATGTCAGGATACAAGCCCTGGAGTTGATACCACTTCTAAGCTACAAACCATAGAGGAGAAGAAGCAAATCAACAACAACAAGAATGTAAGCTTCAACAAGTCCTGTGAAAGTCTAAAAGCATACCAACTTTACCCCAAGGCCAGTCAGACACTGTTTCCAAAATTACAACCTTTACAGAACTTGCTTCTGTATATTATCTAAAGCAGAAGGTCAATTTCAACATGAAGGGTAATTCTCAATTTCTCACTCAGCTTCACATCAGAACAAACCCTCTACTTCTTGGCACTAGCATAATACATTCAATATTACATAACTGCCTGCTGTATAGCACATAGACAATAAAATGAATCGATGCCTTTCAATTACTTACAAGGCTCCTAAGACAGGACAAGCATTACTGCCCTAATCAATAAGTTCCCTATATGAGTCTTAGCATAACTGATTGATACATCTATCTTCATCCTCTTCATAACATAGTTATTACCATCACAAAATTTCAGTACAAATTCTTAAAAAAGCATTGCAATTACATAAGAACACCACGAATACACTACAAAATAACGCCAAATGCACATACCGTGGTAGGCAACACATGATTAAACACCTCAGATATCACTTCAGCATCAGACATATCAACACCATCCCATACTAAACTCCCAATTTCATCATTTGGCAACACCTGCCCCTGTAAATATACAACATTCGGCTTCGACGATTCAAGGGTCCTCCCAAACTCATCCAAGCTCGGATTTCTCAGTGTCCTAACCTGCAAATTATTCCAAGAAATCACTCTTTCTCCCCACAAAAACACAATTTAAACAACTATGCAAAAAAAGTATGAATTCAGCACATACCTCTAAACGGCTAAAAGATTCAAGCTCAGGAAAAGGGTATCGCTGCCGATCCTCAGTTTCCCACTCTTTAAGTTTACTACTATCACATAAAACTGCTAATATACTACAACTTTGCTTCAAACTTCCTTGAATATTACCATTGCTACTATTATGCAACATCATATTTTTATTATTATAGAATTATTAAGCCCAGAAAAAAAAAAAAAAAAAAAAAAAAGAAGAAATTAACTTCTTTTTCACCAAAATTACAGCAACTTCACAAAACCCTTCTTCCCCAATAATATCGTACCCTTCGTAAATTTCCCGCAAAAACGCTCAATTGCTCCATTACCCAGCTGAAAAAAACCAAAACCCAGAAATTCCCAACTTGATCCAACCCAAAATAACTGATCAAATTGGGGAATTTCACAATTTAAGCAAAACTAGGGTTTGCAAAAATCGCAACTCAGAGAACCAATTGAAGCGAAAATACAACAAAATAAAAGCCGGAGAACGGTTGCCGGCGATTAAAAGCCGGCGGAAAACACGGCGGTGCTGAAGAAAGAGAAGAAATTGGGAGATTTGAGGAGAGAGAAAGAAAGAAAAAAAAAATTGAGATTAGGGATAATGAATTGTAAATTGAAGAAGGGGGATTTTGAAGTATTACGATTTTTTGTGAGTTGCTTTTGATACCCGAACCCGATTAAGAAAACCCACTTGAGAATTGAAATTGATTTTGATTGATAGATTAAAAAGTTTAATCGATAGAAATCTAGATTGTTGTTGTATTATTGTATGTAGCATCTTTAATTTTTTTATTTTTTTTAATTTTGGGTATTTTTGATTTGATTTTTTTTTATGAAAGTTTTTGACCAAATTAATTAAATTTCTAAGATCTAGTGTTGTTGGTGTGGAAGTAGAATTTGTTGGAATTTCATTGATTCGTCTGATCTTTCTTTTTTTTTCCTTTTTTTTTTTTGGCATCAAACCCAACGCAATTGATTGATGACTTGGAGAAGTAGTTTGGACTTGTTAATTGTACGTGGTATTAATGTTTCATGGTTTTAAGGTTTAGTGAGTAGCTAAAGCTTCTTCAACCTTATGATATTTGAATTTGGCTAATTTTGTGTTATTAGGAAGATAACCGTGTTTTAAGAAAGGATCAAGCGAGCAAAGTGATGCAACTTCATTTCTTTACAATAATTTGAAATTTTGTTGGTTAAATGACTAAAATACCCTTGATAGCATTAAATATGTCCATTTTCAATTGATTGAAGCCTATTCACCACAAATATAGTAAGAATAAAATTCAAGGAGAGTGATTAAGCTCATTAAGCTTCATGGTCAATTAGATATAGAACACAACTACCTTGTAGTAAGGTGGTCGACATTAGACATTAGCTACCCAATTAGTAGTTGTATTAAAATTTTCAAAAATGTCTCATAATGAAAGAAATAATATCGTATCGTATAAAATTAAAAGATTATGAATTCGTTCTCATGTTCAAGGATGTTATATAAACATAGTTGTTAGAGACGATAGCCCAGGTTCATTAGCATGTCCAAATCTTAATCGTACATAGCAACATTACTCAACTTTTTTTCCACAATTTCTATATTACTACCTAACTGCTTACTTTCACTATTAATTTTTTTTCTCCAAATTAATTATTTCCATGTCTACTTAACTTTCTATTAAAATAGATAAAAATGTGTATTTTCATAATTTCAAATTTTGTGTTAGATTGATTTGAGATAGGCCATATCTTGTTAAGTGATCTCAAGTTGAGTTCAAGCTTTAAGTAAGTTATTTCAGGTATATATGAATTAGTTTTCCGAAGACTATTTCTAGTGATTTTGCATAAAAAATGCTCACATACATTGTATCGTATGATTAATTAAGTTGAGTGTTATTTTTTTTATTTTTTTTTAAATAAGAAAGTTGATTTTTTTTTATTTTTTTTTTTTGATATTTCATTAAGCATAAAGAAAATAACCACTATATAACAGAAAATATACTTCGCATATATAATTGTTGCAAATTCATTTATTCGTTTTACTTTCTTTGTCAGTTAGGACTCTAATTTGTTATCTCGCTTATAGGCCACTAAAAAGTTAAGAAAAATGCTAATTATATTGTATTCAATAAAAATTAACTTATTTGAACTTATTGTATGAAGTATGACTTGTCTATTTGCCTCTTTACAAAACTATAAATACTACCTATGTTTCAAATTATGTGCAATGATAGAATATTTTATATTTCACAAAAAATACCCAAAAATATTACACCAAAAAAAAAAAAAAAAAAAAAAACCTGGATTATTAGTGAATCAAACATATTGAAACTTATTTGAAGTCATCCTTAATGTATTTTATATAAACTAAAAATTGAACAAAACGTAGTAAGCATATTAATGTCACATTAACCAACTAGCAATTAAGCTTGGTGGAGCCCTTACCCTTCCTCCCCGCTCCCAAATATCTAGCTCGCTAACTCGGGTTGAGTTGGACCTGTGAGAGGTTCTGGTCCGATAGGGCTCTTCTCCTTATCTTTATAAAAAAAAAGTAATAATAAGCTTGGTGGAGTTAGGGGGAATTCAGATCACCTTGTAACCTTGACGTCACAAGTTCGAGCTCTATATTTTTGTTAGAGACAACGATCATGCTTTGTGATAGTGACGGGAATCGAAACATGATGGTGTTATATTGAGGAGCCTTTGGCTGCCATATATGGTCCGATCCGATCCAAATTACAACCTTAAACATGTACTACGTGCGTACTATCAATGGAAGACGATAAAGCTAGCTCAAACATGGAAAAATGTATCTCGGTTAAAAGAAAAACATCCTTTTGCTCGAGTGTGATGAATCATCACCTTCAAGTTGATACATGTACTCAGTTAAATAAACATACTTGTATGAAATTCCTTCAATTTCGTAAATAATAATTGAAAATTCGAAATTTAGCTTAAAAAATAAAATAAATTGATTACATTTGCTAAATGATCTAACTTGGAATTTCCGACCAGGCCACTTAGTAAAGTGCTCTTATAAACCCTAGCTAGCTAGCTACATACCATACCAAATTTCTACACCAAAATACTCCTAATTACTACTTCGTATATATTTGTATATATGATCAACTGAACATTATATCATATGGTTCATAATTTCATATCATATAAACTATGAAAAAGAGAGTAAAGGTGGTTGTTGTTTTGTAGGAGGGACTAATGATTTAAACTTGTTGTTACGGTGATGTCGACGAAGTCGAAGGACCTCTAATAGCTTACAAGTCTCACATCCAGCACAATCTATGGAAGTAGTAGAAGTAGCAAGCCTCTTCTTGGTCTTCACTTCAATCTCTTTCATCTCATCCACCATTATCTGCCTGTTCCTACATTCTATGCTACAGAATCCTTGGTCACCCCTGCATACATGATTAAATATATTAGCATAACAATATTTCCTTGCTAATAATATTAACAGGGCCGTTTAATTAAGTACACAATTAAGTTCATAATAATAATTGCAGTAGAACTATGTACTTCATATTACACACCTAGGTATATCATGCTCGCAACATACGTATGATTCATACACTCATTTTTTGCTAACCGGGAGCTCTCTCAATTGAGCAAATGATGCAATAAAGTAGCTTTAGTGTACCGTGTACAACATATAGATGAACTATTAAAATTGTTTTTTTTTTGGTGGAAATTAAACATTATTCTAATTAATGCAAAATTTCAGTGTTATATTTCATTAATTCCCTGCAATTGCCAGTTAATTAGTTGCTGTTCATTAAGTTGGGTGGTAGGTTAGTGAACTTAGTTGAAATGTAAGTACAATAACAAATATAAATACAGTATATAATACGTAGTACTTGGTATGGTTTACTATTAAAATAATTATGAGTCAAATTGCATTGGTTTCAATTATTTGGAATTATGTGGTCCAATGGGCTATAGGAAATTATTTTATTATAGATCATGTTGACACTTCACACTGTTTATGAAGTGGACTTCTATGGGCATGATTCATATGTCAAAATTAGTAAGTATTCTTGTTGCTATTGCTAGATAAGTTTATTAAGACTTTGTGCTAGAAAATTAATCAATGTGTGAGTTAAAATTAATTGTGTAACATATAAATTAGTGTGCTATTCCATATATCACCAATTGATTTTATGTGAAGTACGTCTTATTGTTTGGCGTGGGCTTTTGTAGAACCCGATATGATGAAGATTTACCACTTTAGTTTTTATGGTTAAAGCTTGAAGTAGAAGTTCTAAACTCTAAACCAACCTAATTTCACTTGATTTTTTAGGATATTTTTTGATACTTTATGGATAAGCATCATTTATGACATCTTTAATCAATGTGACAATAACCACCACTAGCCAGTAAACAACTTTATTAATCGGAAAAGTACAAATATTTAATGGACTAAGGGCGTAATTAAAATCCAATTAAAAATAATCAAACTTAATTATCTAAATCATGCATAAATTACTACTCTATGAAAAATATCTAAAATTAATTAATTATTGTTCCAAAATTATTTAACTATATACATTATGATATCAAAGCCAAAGAGTACGTATCCAAACGATACCTCACGCGCCAGCAAGAGCACCATTCTAGGTACTCGATCTGAGTAATCCCAAGTGCATGTAATAATTTACAATAAAGTCATACATATACAACTATTTCACATAACTACTCACTAATAAAAAATGTATGTTCGTAGCAATGAATCAAGTAAATTACCTGTACATGTAAACATCTTTATCAGGGCAAAGAGGCTTCTTGCATAAATGGCATGATTTGAGAAAACAATCAATAATCATCGAAGATGAACTAGTTTTTGACGATATTGAATTGATGGGTGTTCTTGTTAAGGATCTTAACCCAGATTTAACCACAATATTAGAGCATTCAACCTCTGAAATCTGAAGTATTACAATTCGTAAACCTGCTGATGAAATTTCTCCACCTTTTATACTTCCTACTAATGATAAAACCATTTTTTTTTTCTTTTTTGGAGGGGTTTATTAATATTGAGATTTCTCTATCTTTTTTTTTTTTTTTCCTTGGGTTGTTTGTAGTAGGATTCTCTTTAATTAGGGAGTGACACTTAAGTATGGAGTAAGAGAGAGAAAGAGATAAAGGGTGAGGTGTTAGAAATTGAAAGTTGGAATGAAGTGGGGAAATTAAATGAAATGAATGATGGATATATAAACAAACAAACAAATCATGGTAGATTCTTTTTATTTTTTATTTTTATTTTTTTTGAGAAATGTTGTATTTCACACTCAAGCAGTAGCCCCGTGTAACTGAGCTGGCTAATTATCTGTGAAAGGTACGGAGTATTGGCTAAGGAAAAAATTGGATTCTTTTTTTTAGATACTTCGTACATTAAATAATGTTTGTATTTATATTCTAGTTTAAATCATGTTAACTTGTGTAACTGAACTGATTGACCTGTAAAAAGTGTTCATTTTATACCGTACGAGTAAAGTATTTCTCCCTATCAACATTAAATTAAAATTGTTATAAAGTAGTTTTTTTTAAAAAAAAAACATTAAACTTTTAAATGAAGTCTTTTTCTTATATCATTGTGCATATTGATGTGATGTAATTTATTTATTTATTTTTATTATATAGATAGCATGAAAACATTTGTTTTTTTTAAAAAAATAAAATATAAGTCTCATTTTATACACTTTTCAATATCTACTTAAGTACTATAAAATAATCCGTTGTCTACAAAATTAATAAAAAAAAAAAAAAAAACTTCATGGCATTGATTATGGTTTTCTTTTTTTCAAAAATAAAAATACTCATTATAAGTTGAAACTACAAAGTAACATACATATATATATATATATACTCCTTTGTCTCTATTGTTTTATTCTTTACGTTTTAAATTACACACGGTCTACAATATACATACTCCCTCTATCCCTTATTTTTTGCCCCATTTGACTTTTTACGATTTTTAATACACGTCTTCAAACGCATATATCTCCATTTCTATACGCGTAAAAATTATAAAAATTTGATATTAATAAACTATACAATGAGACAATTCTAACAAGATCCCACGTGGATATATTATCACTTATAGATCAACGAGAATTCATGGTTAAGGTTTTAAAAGTTTAACCCACATTTTTGCAATGAGGCAAAAATTAAGGGATGGAGGGAGTATTTGAAAAAAAAAATAAAAAAAAAATCGATCATGTATATATTCAATATGATAGGAGTAAAAATTCTAAGAAATTGATATTTAAAAAAAGTGCTTTGTACATTTCAAGACAAATTTAATACCGTAGTACAATCTTACCTGATATGATTTTGTTTTTTATAATCAAAGTTTTTAAAAATTGACTATAAAAATCAAAATGTAATAAATAAAAAGCAATTAAAAAGTACTCCGTATACCATAATTTTTTACTTTCCCCGTCCCTTATCTATATGCCTACTTTTCATTTTACACGGAAATTAATTGGGAAGTACAAATATAGAAAGTGTTGGAAAATAATCTCAAAAATACAAAAAAAAATAAAAGAAAAATATGACAACTCATAAAAAAAAGAAAATATTGTCAAAAAGTACATTTTTTAAATAGAAATAGACATATAATTTTAAAACCCAAAAAAAAAAATAGGTATGTAGATAAGAGATGGAGGAAGCACTGAATTTTGTAAAAACTTGTTTGAGGTTTTACTACCGAGTGCCGACCCACGTGTTAAACTACGTGTGTTAAATTTTTTTATTTAATTTCTGAAAAGACGTGTGTTAAATATTTTACTGTTGGAAATTGGGAAGTGTAAAAAGTTACCGCGTTTGCTTTTTTTTGGAGTGACAAAAGTAAAACCTGTACTATATTGTTCTTTTGTTTATTTATAAGGTACTACTCGTATCTGCCAATGTTGATGTTTTAGTAGTACGGAGTACTAAGTTAACCATTTTTATTTATTTATACAAACCATAATTAAAATGACAACTTGGTGGTTGTCAATGGTTTGAAGAGAACAAGTTTATCAATTTTCTTTCAAAAAGTTTAAAGCAATCATACTAATTTAAATACGATTTATTAACGAAGATATATGATAGTACTTCATGATATTTATCATGTGTTTAATAGAGCAAAAAGACATAAGAAAGTAATAAATTGGTAATGTTATCGGTCATTTTATAAGTGAGGATGACGTAGTTGATTGTATGTTAATGTTTAAAAATTTCCTTATAGACAGGGTTTTAGTTTCCACTTGTTTTTAGATTAATTAATTAGGTTAGACGGAAGTATTGTATATTTAAGCAATTGTTGGTCTATATATTACCTTCGTTTTGAATTATTTGTAATGATTAAACATTTTCTACTCACACTTTATGTCAAAGCGTTACAATAGTTCAAAATGATTGTACTAGTATTTTAACATATATAAAAAAAATCATGAATTGGAAATTGTAAGAAGTCGAATTGAATACAGTAACTTTAACAAATGAATGGAGTATTTTTGCCGAAGAGCTTATTATATAAAGGAACCAACCATAATGCCATCAAAACATGCTCATATTCAATTTTATCAAGCTAAGTTTAGTCTAGTAAAAAGGAGAGCACTTTCAAATGTTGAAAGGTTGAAGGTTCAATTTCCACTAGTGAGAATTTGGGAAATGGGTTTCCCTTACCTTTCCTCCACTTTTCCAAATTGTCTAGCACGCTAACCCAAATCATGTTGACTTGTGGAGGGTTTCGATCCGATAGAGCATTTCATGATTTCATCTTACCTACAACAAATAAAAAATAAAAAATAAAAAATAATGCCATCAAAGCACAAAGCACCAAACAGTGGGCAGACCGCAGAGCATATTGTTTATGAGCTTGTAAGTTTATAAAACTATTGTATCAAATGCAAAATTGCATTTAAATGATTTACATCTCTGAATTGAAGGAGCTTCCATCACCAATTTGTCCTTAGATTATAATTTTCCTATATAAAAAAGGGTAATGCTATATGTAGACCTTAGGGCTACAAATAAGCATTAAATATATTTCCTTATTTGGTATTAATTTAGAAATGCATGACAAAATTACGTATAAATTAGTGTAATTAAAAAAAAAAATTATGATTCACTATCAATGCGTTTGATATGTTTTTAAAGAGACGTTTATTATATGATTTTTTACTGATCTAATGAAGATAAACGGATTAAATCAGCAGTTACTCTTTCAAGTTTTCAAAAATCTTATTTTGGTCTATATCGATGTATGTCCTTTTCCTGCGTCCCACACGAGCGAAGGAAATTGGAACTTTCATTTATAGCACACATGGTTAACGTGACTTTTGCTCACTTAATGATGATGATGTTTCCTTTTCTTTTTCTTTTTTCAATCACTAGTTTTTTCAAACCTTAGCTCCTCACTTTTCAATCACACCAGCCCATCTCACTTGCTCTTCCTCAGTTTTCGATCATTCATGGATTATCCCTTACTTCCTCCGTCCCTAATTTATTGCCTCATTGATAATTTTTAGGTCAAACTTTAAAATATTTGACCATACATTCTCATTAATCTATAAGTGACGTAGTAATGTGAGATCTTGTTAAATTCGCTTCGTTGTATATTTTATTAATATCAAGTTTTTATAATTTTTACGCATGTAAAATAAGAGATAAATAAGTTTTAAGATGTACATTGGAGACCTTGAAAAGTCAAATGGAGGAAAAAAAAAATAGGGATAGAGGGAGTATTATCTAACGCAATAGTTGTATTATATAGGTGACGCAATAATATAATACCAAGAATATTCATAACTATTACAAATTTATTTTTTAACATTTTTTGTTAAGCTGATTTTCTATAAATACTCCATTTTCAAAGACTGTGAATGAGTTTTTGTGTGTGTGTGTGTGTGTTTTTCCAAAATAAGGATTGTGAATGAATTAAACATTACTAAGATAGTGCATCAGTGCTACTGTTGAATAAGATACTTTTTTACCCACCTGGAAAAAATTATGAGCCACATATATATTTTTTTTGAGTTATATATGCAAAGTACATTTAGCAATTATTGGTCTAGTGTAATTGTGTAAATTGGTGATGATGATGTTTTCGAGTTTTTCTTTGTGATGATTTCGATTGTGCTATTTGTTTTGTCTTGCAAGACGATCTTTTTGGTTTTTTTTTTTTTTTGGTTTGTTTGTTTTAAATAATAATTCAATTATGAAGTCTTATTAAAGCTATAAACCTTAATAACAGTGGTTGCATGAGATAATTAGTTAATTATTAAATACTAAGCCAATATAATAAGGAAGAAGCTAGAGGCCCATGAATATATTCTAATTGTACTGTCATGAACATGGTGGGTTTTGCTCCATTGGGCTTTTGGTTCTGGTTCAGTCACCATTCACCATGTTCAATTTCTTAACTGGCTTTCTGCATACAGTGGCAAGATTAGCGAAGGTCCATTTCTTATTGCATTACTTTGAACTTAAATCGACCTAAAAAGTAAATATCTTTTGAAAACAATCAAAGAATATTAAAATAACTCTTTGACAAATTCCTAATACATTCCTATATGTTGGGACGTGAAAAGATTGCATTGTCTAGTGGCTCGACTGTTGTAAATTCCTTAAATTGTTTTCTTTTTCTTTATTTGAGAACTAGTTTATAAAGTTACTGGTACTTTACCCTAATTTAACGATTATGATTTTATTTTTTAAAAAATAACTCTTCTAGTAAGAAATATGAAATATCCAAGTAATATTCCACAATGAGCTATAGCATGTTAATATTGATGCGTTGAAAATCAGTACGTTTCTAGGTCTGAAGTGAAGTTATGTTGTAAGAGAACCACTAATCTAAATTTAGGAATTGAGACAAGATACAATATAGAATATCCTAGAATATTTATGAGGCTTCTTACGTTATACTCTAAAATTTATACAACTATTCGTGGATATCATTAATCATACACCTTCATTGCTAATTTGACTTGAGTACAAAAAAGGGTATATTCGTATATGTGGTTGCATTTGGCATCTGTTATTGGGACAACTTTGGGTGTTTTCACCAACAATTAACGGATACTTAATTTTATATAATCTGATCAAGAAGCTAATGTACATTAAAATAAATAAATAACCTACATGTGTCAATTTAATTTTGTCAAAAAGCGAAAACATTGACAAATTGTTGTCCTTGTGGGAAATAAGTAGATTGTTAAGGATGAGGTTTCAAAAAAAAAAAAAAACAAAAAAGGATAATGTTAATTAAGGATGAGACTCAATTGTTAGCTAGAAGATCTGATCTTAAAAACGGAGATACTCAACATCAAGTGAGCTACTAGTCCTATAACATTACAACACACTCATGTATGGATTAGGGTATGTTCTGTTCACATTATTTCACGTCAGATAAGTTATGTTCAGTAAAAATAAGTTTTAATAAGGATTATCCAAGTTCAAATTACAACTAAAATAAGTTTTAATAAGTAGAAGATCGATTCCGTTCAGAAAAACTTAAAGCTCAATATGTTC